CGCGCCATGAAAAGGTCTATAGAGCGTGGTTATACAGGGTAAAGGTTAAGATATCACTGTGTAATAACTTCAGTTTAAGCAAATTTAAACTCTAGGAGAGTAATGGTCCCACAGAAGCAATAAAAACAACAACATTATATGAAAATTGCAATCGGTTTGACATAACAAAATGTATGTAACAACATATGAGCCGTGTCATGACAAAACCAACATAATGGGTTTGCGACCAGCATGGATCCAGACCAGCCTACGCATCCGCGCAGTCTGATCAGGATCCGTGTTGTTTGCTATCAGTTTCTGTACTTGTGATAGGGTTTGTAAGCGAACAGCATGGGGATCGCTGAATCAAACCTGCGGCGGATGCGCAGGCGGTCTGGATCCATGCTGGTCGCAAACCCTTTACTATGTTGGTTTCGGTCGTGACGCCGCTCATGATGTTAAAATGAATGAATAATCCCCATGGTGAAAGAACTCGCTTAGTTTAATGTTTCTGTTAAAATTTTAATAATTACTAAATTTTTAGATTTGGGAATATTTGTCTCTGAGATTAGGAGAATTTTTAGTGATTAGAATAAAATGTTAAAACCCCGTTTTCTTGGCATATTGATCGTGTCTGGAAATCATTATGCAATATTCTACCAGGAGTTTTTAATCTTTAATGTTTGTTAAGATGGAACCGAATGAGACAAAAAAAAACCTAAAGGTACAACGTATGTAAGTATCATCATAACTGCAGTAAAAAGCTGCATGTTTTCCGTCGTAGGCCATGCTTCACGACAGGCCGAAAAGAATGCGATTGGTAAAGGTATAATGCCTGACATTATCCAGATTCCCACAATCGTGAGACAAACCTTCCTAGATGATAGTCGCCGTTGCATAGGGCGACATATAGCCAAATATCTATCAACTGAAGAAAGTATGATTATAAATGATGTCTGTATACAACAGGCTGTATTCATGTAGTTTTTAAAACAACACATGGTCCTTCCGGAGATCTGTACGTGATTATCGAGATTTCTTAGAACTAACGGTATACAGAACAGTATTAACAAAATACCGCTCACTGCCAAAGCAGTGATATGATAATTTGCTTTCGAACGATATTTTTTTAACATCACATTTTGTAAGATTACCACGATGTTTGCAACCAAAGCGACGATGGCAGACAATCCGTGTAGTGCTATTAGACTCCAAACGATTCCATTTGATATATTCATTTGTTCTCCGTTCTCCGTTTTATTTAATGTAAGATTTTCTACTTTATTTAATAAAGCCATTTTTGCTTCCAACGACCAGTTTTTAAGAAGACCAGATTATGTCTATTTGAACTGAAGTGTCTGACAATGATAAGGCCTCATTGCATTGGTCTGTGTTTGAATATTCATTTTCTTGCGCAGCCAATAAGAAATGTTTGCTCCTAAAAACTTATTAATTACGGACAAACACTTTTTATATAGGATAGTTACTAAGATACTCGTATTGATCTATTTTTCAAAAGTCATTCCTCTTACAGCAAATAAGTCAATTACTTATTGCAGAGAAGTCACGTAGTCATATGTGATTTTTTTGTCAAAGAAGAGACTAAGGTCATTTATACTGTAAATTGTAGTTATACATTTATCTATGATCTGGTAGTAAATACTAGTATTTTCTTTCCAAACACAGCAAGTGGTATAAACAATAAACCAACCAAAAAGATATTCTTAAACCGATACTTGGTGCAAACATCACATTGCACAATTTTGATAGGTCGACAACAAACATGCAACCGCCAACTTGAGCAGTAAAATTGTAATAATAACGTTCGTGTGCGGTGTGTTTGTGTGTGTTTTTTGTTTGTTATTTTTTTGTTGAATTTTTTTTTTTATATAAATATATAAAATTTGATGGCTGATTTGGTACACTTTGCGCGTTTCACTGTGTATAGCCACAACACAACGCATTTTCGTCTTATCGTTAGTGGAGCACCCAAACGGTGCGTTGTCGTGCGGCGCGTTGTCGCGATGACACCATGTTGCTTTGCTTAAATCCTTCGATTTGAGCCGAGCGACAATGTGACATCACGAAAAAATGTCGCACGACAACGCGCCATTTGACGTGCATCGTTAGCAACAGGACGGCAAGACGAAAGTCCGACAACGCGCCGTTTGACGCTAGCGACATCACGACGCACAAAAATGTTTCAAATCAGCCACCTTAATAAAGTCGGAATACAATCTTCATTTACGAAGCCTGACATCAGTGTGTAAGCTCCTGCTGTTGATTGCCGGTTAAACATAGTAGCGTCTTGAAAATTGGCATACAAAAAGTTGACCATATTTCTGATTAGATTCCGTTCATTTTATTCCAATAGTTTCAGCCAATTTATGTACACACGACGTCAAAGTTAACCATCAAAGCCCGTTTTAGAACATGAAGGGACCGTATATCATGCAATACGTATATGTCTAATATATCCGTACACTTGTTATAAACGAGAACTTAAATTTGTATAAAGTCCATATTGACTAAAATACGTATTTTTTTAATTACAAGGTCAGATATAACCAAAATATGAAATCTTTTATTCTTGTTTATATGGATTTTGTATATAAAACAGAGAATAAAGATATACTTCAGAATTACCCACTTTCTACAAGAGGAAAGAAATATTAGTCAGATCTGACATTTGTCAGAATAACATTAAATTGTAAAACTTTGAGTAAAATGTAATATTTCCCGGTTTTATAAACATGTCAATTGCTTACTGATTAAATGGTGAGTGAACAGACTATATAAAACATCAGCAGATCCTCGACAGTGTCCGTAGCATGTACAGACAAAATCATGACAAAAGATATTGAAATATCTTTATTCTTATAAAGATTTACAACGCAACACTTCTTTGTCATGACCGCCTGGTTCGCTAAACATCCACAGACGTGTATTTATAGCGTTTCATTATATTTCATGTTTTTTAAAAAATTTCCTGTTCAAAATAAATTCTACCATAACTTTGGCTATACAGTTAATAATGAATATTTGCAAAGTAATGTTTTTAATACAACCTTTACGGTGAATCCTCAATTTTTGTGTGTTTTTTACATTATGATATTCTAAAATGATAAGCAAAACGAGAGAAAATGTATTAAAGATGTTTTTTTTTTGCTTGTTGAATCGAATGTGCTTACCTCTTTAATCCAACACCCACCGAGCTAACGTTTAAAACATGACTGCTGCTTCACGCTAATATAATTGACTAAATTTCAATTATGATCCGTATACTTTAATTTGTCAATATTTCGCACAGTTACATAGCATATACTCTGTCAAATTGCTGCATACAAGAGAAATTCTGGGTTTTTATAGGTAAAATAAAATACATATCACTCACAGTATATCACTTTTAGTGAGGGTAATAAAATATATGGCTTTGCAGAACTTCTGGTAGCCTACGTATTAATTTATGATTGTAAAATTTGAATTTCCGTAAATTTCTAAATTTACATAGAAATATATAGAAGTTTCTTGTTCCTTATGGCATATTTCTCGATTCCAGTTCCTTAATTGTATTGTATTACAATATCAAAAAGTTACACCTCAGCTGTACATGTATTTGTTTGCGCAGCATACGCGTTCCCGTTCAACGCTTGGCGTCATTTTCTTTACATGCGTCTGAATACACAAACAGCAAACATAAACTCACAAAATGGAAAGGGGATAATAAATTCAATAAAATTGCACTTCGACCAAGCCAATGATAGTTAACGAGACAATATTGTTGTTACATATCTAGCAAGTTCCATACACTGCTGACAGTTTCTTTTTGCTCAAGGAACACGTTATATTGAAACGTACCTGTATTTAGACTTTATTAGCATTGGTTCCAGTCTTTGCTTCTGTTCGGAAAATCGACTATATATCAATCAGAAATTGTGACGTGCTCGTACGAAATAGCGCGTATGCTATAAATAAGCAAAATATCCCAGGCTAAGATTTTAAACAATATGCTCTTTCGTCCTAATGTCTCATTTTAAATTTTAAGCATTTGCAATAGAACATTGTTGTTGTTGCTTTATATGGTTAAGTAAAACTCTAGAACAATTATTCTGATAAAGTGAATATTATTGCCGCACTTTGAAGTTTCAAAAGAATCTGCATACGTCGAATTTCGTTACAAAATTACTCAAGGGGTGGGAGAAATTAAATCACGTGAACCGAAACATTTTAGTCGAAGACCCCCTATTCTTTAGTCATTTTGACCGAGTATACATTTTAAAGGACGTTTAAAGAAAAAAAAATCAAAAATTTATTGCAAGAATTTTTAATAAGCCGCTTTAAAACCGAAAATTGCGGCTTAACTAAACGTCAAATTTTACACAAAATTGACAGTTTTCTTTCCATTTTTCAAACATTTTTGGCATAAAACGTTAAAGTTTATATCAGCTTTAAGGAAAAAATATTTTCCGTCGAATGCTGTAGAATTTAAGATATTTTGTCCGGCTATGGCGTTGTCCGTAACAGTTGCCAAGGATACGCAACGACGTCATGTTCAAAAATGGGCTTTGATGGTCAACATTTGACGTCGTGTGTACAAAAATTGGCTGAAACTATTGAAATAAAATTAACGGAATCTAATCAGAAATATGGTCAACTTTTTGCATACCAATTTTCAAGACGCTACTCGAAAGTTCGCAAAGTGTCGCGTTCTACCTTAAATATCATTATGTTACCGTCAAAAGTGTTATGTAAATGTACGAGGGGTTATCCAAAATTTTATAGACTTTCTTTGTCGCGTAAAATATATTTTAGATATTGATTTGAAATTCTGACACTGATAAGAAGAATTAAGAACCAATAAACACAGAAAAAATCATGTAAATATCTTTTATCACACACTCGTGCCAATCTTGGGACTCTGTAAAAATGGTATTGCACGGCCGTGCATATATTTTGACGTGATACATCCCAAATCAGTCTGATTACAAAACATGTAAAAAAATGAAGAAAACACGTCACGGTATATTTACACAATTGTACACATTTAATGATAAATGCATACATGTATGCATCAATAGATTTCTGTTTACAAACTGGTATTAATTATAAATACAAGTCGTTGTACTATCATTTTTAATGATAGCAAGTCTTTGAGTTGTAAAATGTATCTGTCAACAAGCGACTTGTTTTATTCCAGAGTACAGTTAACCATCATTATAAACTGAATTGTGTTGACTCATACAGTTTTGACTGGTTTAAGTATGATACGTCTAGGCACTGGATCGCCATAATTCGTTGCCCAGTCGCGGGGTTTTGTTTTTTCGTTGCGTTCTTTCATTTCTTTAACTAATTGTTTTAAGCCCCGTATTTTCTCCTTGACTGAAGTACGCGGCGGGTGAGATTCGGAAGAAATTGCCTCTTCTTCCATTATTTTATTCTGGTGAATGCTAGAAGTGTCCGGTCTTACGTCTTTACATCTCTGTAGAAGTTGTTTATAATTACTTAAAACGGAATATGTCGGTGGTTTAGTTGTAAATGTTATACTATTGTACGTGGCCGGCAAGAAACATGGAAAATGACGACATCGTAAATTTGTATTTGTCGGATCAAACATACACGTGTCACATATTTTTTCAATGCGGTTCTTACCGCTGAGTCGACTACTTGAGCGTGATTCCACAGGTGTTGCCGAATCTATCCGAGGAAATTGGATAACCGGCTTGTATTCTTTTATTTCATCTTTGATAAAACGCGTCTCCTTTGTCAGTTCTTTTTCAACATTCGATAGATTTGAATCGAGCAGACGAATTTTCTCACCAAGTAAACGCTCGTACACCTCGTTCATTTTCCGCAGACGTTTTGTTGCCGCATGTTTTCTTTTCTGTATTTTCAATCCTTTATCCATCTCTGCTTCATTATCCCAACGAGTCTTCAGCAGTGGTTCACTGTAAAATAATAAAAGCTCTTATCAGATTTGCGAACAGTATCTTTCCTAATATCTAAGTTCTGAAACGCAAGTTACTCATTCTCTATACATTTTATCTCTTAACTTTTTATTTGATTTCCTACAAGAATTCTTTCATCCATCGTTATTTATTTGTTCGTTCCCTCGGTCGGTCGGTCGGTCGGTCGGTCAGTTGAGAGATACAAAAAAGGCAATACATCATGCTGAGATAGCCTGGCCCCGTGTTCACAAAGAAAAGATCAGGATCAGGATCAAGTGATCCTGATTTTATTTTCATTGTTTTATGTCAATAAAATTTATTGTTTTGCTAGAAATAAATAGTAGATATTCAAAATGTAAAAAATGCTGATTTGAAAAGAAATCAAACTATTTTAAGATAAGATTAACAAATAACCTAACAAATACAAAAATATTCGGATCAAAATAAGGATCAATTTTAGGATCAGGATCAATATTTGGATCAACTGGAAAATACCTGTATCTTGTAAAAATAACAATTAATTTATTCTAAAATTTCATTAATTTGCTATTGCAAGTCCAGTTCTATCAAATTAATATTAGATATCTAATCTATGAGGATAAAAAATGAAGACTATAAAGAGTTTCTCAATTTGATCCTGATCTTGATCCTGATCCTTAAATCTTTGTGAACACGGGGCCAGTTGTTCATCATGAACGTTACACTTGTATAATGCTTATGATCGTATTTAATATGATTAAGGTCATTTATTCTTGCCAAAGTAAACATCTTTAAATAAACTTTTTCGTCTTTCGTTCTGAACAAAACCATTATTATTTTAGGGAAAATATCAAAATATAGCGAAAATTGCGGACCATTATCAGATTCCACATAATCATATATACTGTCTAATCTTGGTTTGAATTGATTGTTTATAACAAAGCATATCGTATCAAGTTGTCAGCTTTTCAAAAAAAAAATAGTTTAAGTTGCAAATATTTTGAAACTGTCACTGCGCCTACCGGTTCTCGAATAAAATAAATCATGAAAACAGGAAAAAAGCTCATTAACTCATACAAACCTTAGACAGAAATGTCAGTGATAAAACTGCTTAGAACTATATTTATCCTTTCCTAGCTGTTATCAGGTTTAATTCATAGTTTGTTTTTTTTTATAAAAAAAAAGATGTAAAAAAACCTACAATTCGCTACAAGAATCACTTCTGGCCGTCGGAACCGTATCAAGAGACGTCGTTGTTGCCATAGAAAGCTGTGATGACGCTATAGACTGACGTGACGTCGGTCGACTGGAAGGTGACGGCACCATTTGAATAACTTTTGGTGACGTCACTTGTTTCACTGTCAATAATGTCGCTTTTGGTGAATTAACTTCATTAGATAATCCAGACTGACTTAACTGCTTAAATGACGTTTTTGATTTTGACGCTAATTTTTCTACCGACATGATTTTTTAAGTATCTTAATTTAAATTTCACAAGTATTCTTTATTCCTCCTCCAAATATTTAAATAAAATGTAGTCCAAATCTTAAACTCTTATATACTGTCTTGTCAACCGCTAGCAACTTGAAAGAAGCATGTCTATTGCATGATAAGTTAGACGAGTTTAAATTATGTATAGTTTAATTTGCAATGTAATCTATAATCAAATAGTCTTAATCATTCAAACAATTCAATATGTTTTGTCTCCCCATATAAGTGATTGATCAGATTGGTGTACTTCTTTAACCCTTTGTCTTCAGTGCAATATTTTCCCAATACTCAATAAAATTGTTTACATACAGACACGTGGAAAATACTTTGTAGTCCATTGATATAATGATTTGTTGTTTATTGATACAATAATTTACATAGCGCTAGGTATTCTCCGATGCAGATAATTTAGAAATATACATAAGATGTCATTGAATCAGTCTAAACAATTGTATTTTATTGCCAAACTTCTGACTAAATATATACAGTTTGGAAATTTACTTTTTATTTTGTGTTTGCAAGTATTAATGAATCAAGTGGTAACTATTATAAGTAAAAAGTAATGTCCATGGTTTGTTTACGTGATGCCTGTTATCGCCTATTGTGTTGTGTCGGCTGGTTCCGTAAGATGTGCCCCCTTCTGTTTGGGGGTTTGAAGGGGGGGCGGAGTCCCCCCCCTCATCGCCAAGAAAATTTTGGACATGTGACAGGCTAAAAATGGCCTCAGGTCGATCTTAGGGTAACTAGTAACCGACGCTGAAAAGCCCTTTACTCTATCTCAATTCATTGAGAAGTTGCAGCACTTTGAAATCAGTTTTGATGGAAAAAAAACAATGCAAAATAGTGATTTTTGGCAATTTTGAGACGTCCCCCCGTTGCCATGGTAACAGGAAATTTACCATTGAGCATGATGTTACAGAGGCTATGGTGTAGTCAACATTTGGGTCAAGTTTCATTAGTATTGAAGCATTTTTCATAGTTTCATAGCAGTTTGAACTTGTTACAGGAGGCTTTTCAATGAAAACGGCCATTTTTCGCAATATGCTCCTGGGGTAAAAGGTTAAGACACTGTGGTCAGATTCGCGTAAGCGAGTAAGTATATCAAGTGGTCGCCAGATAAATATCTAATGATTGCGGGTAAGTTTATCAAGTGGTCGCCAGATAAATATCTAATGATTGCGGGTAAGTTTATCAAGTGGTCGCCAGATAAATATCTAATGATTGCGAGTAAGAATATCCAGTAGTCGCAACTTAAAATATATATTGTTTGTGAGTATCAATATCTAGTGGTCACCAATTAAAATATTTAGTGTTTACATGAAGTTGTCAATATTGCATTAATAAACATTTAGATGTCGCGGAGATTAAAGTTTATTTATTGCGAGAAAAAAATTATCAATTGGTTGTTGCAAGTACATGTATTATTAAATATATAAAGTGGTCGCGAGTTTTAATATATTTTGTTTACCTTCATCATTTACATGGCTTATCAACGTGTTTGCGATCATGATATAGCACTGATACAATTCTGGTCCATATTTTGATATATCTATTGTAATCAAGTATTTCTACTCATCATTATTTAAAATCCCTGAATAATCCTTAAAAGACAATATTTGAGCCGCGCCATGACAAAACCTACATAATGATGTTTGCGACCAGCATGGATCCAGACCAGCCTGCGCATCCGCGCAGTCTGATCAGGTTCCATGCTGTTCGCTATCTGTTTCTCTACTTGTTTAAGGGTTTGCAAGCGAACAGCATGGATCCTGATCAGACTGCGCGGATGCGCAGGCTGGTCTGGATCCATGCTGGTCTCAAACACATTATGTTGATTTTGTCGTGACGAGGCTCATTTAGTTGACATAGGTGTATTCATTAACTGTGTTATCTGTTGGAACGACAGAATAAACGTATATATCGTTATCGCAATCAGGGTGTTCGCTGATAATGGAGAGATAAAACTTAAGAACATGACAGATAAATTTTGCAGATACATTTGTAATTTTTCTAATATAGTCATCATAAACCGATATTCTTGAATTTAAGCCAAATCATCGTATACCAGCAATTTAATCATTCAATATGCATGCATGGCGGATTGTTTTCAATGTAGGTTTAGAGTCAAATGAATCAGTGCTAGGTGGCGTGAGAGAGTTTGTGCCTTTTATCATTTCTCATAAAGAGGATCAATTAAACCGAGTCTACAGTTATCATCTCTTTACGTTTGTGTTTAATGCTTTTGATGGACCTCCCGTTTTTCTACATATTTTTTTATATATTTCTATCATTATCTTGCATAATGTATCTCTTATTGATCTTCACAATGACATTTCTCATAGAGTACAAATATATTTACAAGTAATAGGGCTACTTTCAACAGAAGTATTATGTATTCAACTTAATTATTTTCTCTATTGTTAAATGAATAATAATATACAAATCAAGCACCTTTTTAAAATATGCATGCCGTTGTATAGTTATATTTCGTTCGCACGACAATACTTAGTCGTTCGCACGACATAACTTTGTATTATGAAACAAATAAATTGATTGATTGATTAATCATGGACACAATAAAGGGTATGTCGTTTAAACGAGAAAGCTATGTGTCGTGTTAGAGAGTTAGCTATGTTTCTTGGGAACGAGTAAGCTATGTGTCGTGGGGAAGAGTTAGCTATGTGTCGTGGGAACGAATTTGCTATGTGTCGTGAGAACGAGTAAGCTTTGTGTCCTTGGAAAGAGTTAGCTATGTGTCGTGGCCCGAACAAGTTACATATTATGTGTCCTCAAAACGAGTTAGCTGTGTGTCGTGGGCACGGCTTAGCCATGTCATGGGAAATAGATATTAAGTCGTTCCCTTGACATGCATAGCTTGCTGATTATGACGTGTTAGTACTGGAAGTCGTCAAGCTTCCATGCACTATTCTTTCATTACTCCTTTTTAAAATGCAATACTTTCTTCAGTTTTGCTTTCCATTGTTTCTTTTCTCGTCGACCCGTGCTAATATCTCGTTGAAAACAAATGTATTGATATTTAATTAAGCTTAAATATAGAATATCATATTTACTTACAGTCTCATGATCAGTTGTTTAGTATCCATCTTAAATCTAAATGTTCTCAAAAACTAAATAAATAAATCTTTTAGCACCTGCTCTGAGTAAAAGTTTTACTTAAATAAATGTCATTTAAATGTAGTTAATCAATGCTAGTTCAACGATTATGAAATTTGAACTTATCTTGTTTTAGTACTGAATCAATAGACCGTAGCACATGCTTTTAAAAGGAAATAATTAAATGGAAAATCAAAGGTCGTTTTAGAAAAAAAAACATAGCAAAAAGTCAAACTGATCGAGTTTCTATTCAACTCTTTAAATGATTTCAAATAATGCCATTGAATCGGGTAATGAGTTTTCCCGTATATTTATTTTTACATTAATTGCTAAAATCCAAATTGCCTATGTTAAAAGTATTTCAGCATTTAAATTACTCTTTCGTATTTACAAAACCCTATTAATACCTATCATAATGTTATATCAATAATGATGACATTTCTATGATAGCTCTTTATATTTCTATACGTGCTATTGGAATTGCGTTTCAAAGGCTTGTCAAGTTTGTATATTACATCAATGCCCGTACGTATACATAGAATCCTTATTCTTAATGTCATAACACAAACGTATAATATAATAAGTATTATCATCACCACCGCGTTCATCATTACCGTCATCATTATTATTATTAACTGCATCAGTATCATTTCCTTCATCACGCTCATCGTTTTCATCATCATTGTCAGACTTTTCCTATCATTATTCTCGTTGTGATTATTATCACTATCATAATCATCATCATTTTCATCACGATCATCATTATCGTCAGTGTTATCCTAATTTTTACTCTCGTTGTGATTATCATCACTTTCATCATCTTTATCATTATTATTGTTTTTATATTTATATTTATTATATAGAGGATATTTGTTTGTTTGTGTATAAGATGAAATTTTATTTCATCGAATGAGCTTTAAAAACAGTATTCTCACGAGTGGCAAATTTATATTAGATTTGGCTCTGTAAAATGTAAACGGCCGCCATTTTTAAAATTGTGTATTCCATGGGTGGAAAATAATTGTGTTTGATTCAGAGGGATATCATTCATACACCTTTTAAGAAGCTAGAAAACTTTTTTGAGGATTATTAGAGACAATTAATAAGTGTTGACATATGTGTAAACATTCAAAATCGGCTATGAAATTGGAACACATGGACTTTTTGAAAGGCTGCCTTACAAACTTACGAGAGCTAGGTTATTTACTTATTCTTCGGGCTGATGTCTGTCATTGCTTTTCAAGTTATTAGGCAGTTATTGCTCGTAGGATACTTAAATATGCCCAAATGTCATTAAGAGCAGTTCTGCATGTGGAAGGAATTGTATTTTTAAGACTGTAAACATGAAACAAAAATTTAGAGATAATATTTGGTGATTGGTAATTTGAATGAATTGGAGTAAGTTTTCTTCTTTTTATTACTTTTGAAATTTCAGTTATTTATCAATTTCAGTTTTGCTTTTCTCTGAACAAACCAGACAATGTCAGAATTTTCAACAATAATAAAACCGAGCCGCTAGGTAAGGTCGTATTGCAAACAACCGTTTATATATAAGGTGGCGTAACGTTTTTTTGTGTGTTTTTTCTCAAAGCTTATATGTGAAGAAGTTGTGGGTAGCTAACGAAAAAGGATTGCAATCTTGGTTCTGCGTTTAACACGTCATGTTCGCCGGTGACGATCGTCTAACGATAGTAGCTGGTAAGTAAATGTTCGGGTAATTGATCGCGTAATGCAAAATGCACATAATAAGATGCTTCCAAAATAATTGATGACGAGTGATCGTCGACATTGCATCACCGATGTGACATCGCGTATTCACCAGCATGCTCAATCGAAAATGACTGCATACAGCTAAGCAGTAAATGACGGAAATATAATCTCGCACCATCCAGTTGAATACTTCCTAGAGTTCTACATTCTACAGCTCTACAGTTCTATATTCTATGTACAGTACTTTGTCCTACAATTATATATTCATATTCTACAGTTCTATATTCTA